CCCAGCCTGAAAGGTCTTTCCAACCGCGCCCGCCCTGGAGACTGGACGCCCAGAGCCCAGACTCTGAGCAGCGAGAGGACGCGGGAGCAAACGAAGCAGAAAACGTTAAATGCATGATGTAGAATTGCTGCCTTTGCACTAAGCTGTTGTATTAAGCATGAGAGGCATTTGTTTGACGTTGGCAAAGGAATCGAACAAGAAACAAAAAGCTTTGTGTCCTTGTTTTGGCTGTCGATAGAACTTCCATTTCCCTGCCTTCCTTTACCCTGTTTCTCCCCCAACCCCATCGCACCCACTTTCTGTCACTTGTTGGTATTTGGTGGCAGCTCTTGGTCCTGTTGTTCATGTTCCACTGAAAACACGGGGGTGGGAGGGAGTGGTAAGAAAAGCAACTTTTTTCTAATTTTTGTATTGGTATCCACAAGCGTTTGTATTTTTTTGAATTGCAAACACTGTGTTTTCTGGTCTTTGGGGGTTGGTTGAACTTTCTGTATTACCTTTTGGAAAACCTGAGTTTTACCACAGTCTTAAGCAGATTTGAAATAAATTCTTTTGACACTACCAACCACTGAACGACAAGGTATGCTCTGTAATTCCGTCAAGGCAACGTCTGCCTTTCTCCAAACTGGCCCCGACTGCCCACCTGGCGGGGTAGAGGCTGCAGGAGGGGGAGGCCACGTCGGCCTCTCACCAGTGGGTTTGGTCAACATGGTTCTGCCTTGTGTGCCCGGGAAATATTGAGGTGACATATGACTCTAAATCGTAAGGCACCACCTCAAATAGCAGGGAGTTCCTGGAATTCATTTTTGCAAGAGGTAGTGAGGCCGGTGATATATAACAGTTAACATATAGATAAGATACATTCATGAGTGAAAAACAGATCACAGGTTCTACACAGAGATTTGGGGGAAACATCCAGGAGACTAACCAGCACCTTCATCCACACACACTGAGACCAGATGCATCTGACCCCAAAACTCTGTCCCCTGCTGCCTTTCTCACAACGTGATCCTCAGGGCAGCCACCTCACACCGTCCCTGACAACCCCTGAGACCAGCGACCTATAGGATTGCCGAACGGGCTCAGCTGGGTAGGGGCAGACGCTGAGATCAGTGTGGAATGTTTCTTAGCAGTTGCTCTTGGGGTCAACACCCATGGAAGCCAAGGGCAGGAAGCGGGATTGGACGATGGGAGACATGGAGCTGCAACGCAGACCCAAGAGATCCCTCAGCCAGCTCCACTCTGGAGTTGTCCTGAGTTGGGATGAGAGCACCGGGCTTTAACACCCTCGCAGGGACCATTCATTGACTGTGGCTCCCCCAGGAAGGGGATGAGGCGATCCCTGCAGAGGGTTAACACCTGAAGCCCGTCTGCCCTAACCACTCTCAGCAGCTGAGGGAGTAAGTCCTTCATCTCTGAAAGGGAATCTAGTGGGACCTCACGGTGTCCATCGCAATCTGCCATTGGGCCCACGCAGGTCTGTGCTTCACACAGTGTGAGGGAGAAGCTCTTCCAGAATTCCAGAGAGGCACACTTAGAAGAGGAGCGTCAGTGGGACAAACTCCAATCCCTGCCACTGTAGCTGGCCTTGGAGCTGCAACTGAGACTCTGCCTCCTGCCGACCTTGGCGGCTTACCTGTTGGAGTGACCCAGGCCCTCAGCACTGGGGAAGTCTGAGCCTTGGGTCCCTGGGCCCCTTTCTGTGCAGGGTTGCTGCACTTGTCTGGTTACCATCAAACTTGGACAAAGGCAGTGTCCAGAGATGCACAAGTGGATGGCCAGGGTGCAAACACATCCCTCCCTGCCACCATGTGACACCAGCCCTGCTTCCTCTTGACAGTCATGGTCAGTCAGCCGGCAAGGAGGTGGCTCTTCTTGCCCAGGAAACACCCTTGGTTCAGTGGGATACTCCCCTTTGGGAAGCAGGGTCTCTAAGTCCGCAGGGCCAAGAAGGGGGTGGGAATCCCATTCCTCAAGTGGGTCCCTGGGAGTCACGGTAGACAATCATGGATTCTTTTCACTAGGACACAGCACCTTATAAATGTAATGACGTTCAAAGTGGCTTAAGGTGTACGCCGCTCCCTGGAGGATGCTGCCTCCTGCTCACCAGGCGTCACCTCTGAGATGGCACTTCAGTGGCACCTGCGACAGGCCTCCCCTTCTCCCAGCAGGACAGCGGTTCAGGACGGTGGCCCCAGAACAGGCGGCCAGGCTCGCACCTCCTTTGCCATCGAGTGGGGCTCTTGGTTGGAAGTAGTGTTGTCCTGTGGGACCCCAGGCCAGGGCATGATCAAACGCTCCACATGCCCTTGTGACAATGGAGCTGGCGGAGACCTGCAGGCAGGAGAGGAAAACCTGTGATAGGAATGGGTATCTGTTCCTGTCACAGTGGTTTACTTTTCCTTCCGGGCTGGAAAGGAGCCAGTGTAGATAGCATGCCACCAGGTGGCTGGTTGGTCTCCTCAGGGGAGGGTCCCTCACTGGGGACTCAGCACTGGACTCTGTGGTGGGCAGGTCGAACATCTCGGCAGCAGCGGAAGTTGGATCCACCCGAGTGAGAATACGGCGGAGCTGCCATCCATGCTGGGCTTGAGCCCGTTCACAGGGAAGCATAGGCTTTTCCCCTTCGCCAGCTGCTCCCAGCTGTGGGCTGAGGGAGAGAAAGGCACCACGGTGTGGGGTGACACAGGTGTCTGGGTCTGGCCACGCAGCCTGCTCGTGCTTGATCCTGGGTGTCCAGTGGATTACCACTGGGCCCCCGACTCCGAGACATGGAGGGTCTGACAGATCCCAGCTCACGGTGAGACTTCTGGCCTCATGGTCCCTTGGTGTCAGGGCCCAGCAGCATGCCGGCAGCTGGTTTTGCTGCAGCTAGTGTGACCCCCTGAGTTCCCAGGCCCAGCACTCAGGCTCCAGCCAGCATCCCTTCCCCCATAGTCCCGCTACTCACCTCTTTGAACATCAACTGGATCACGCCACTCTCCTGCAGCGCTCCCTGGCTGCTCATCACACGCAGGCAGATTCCTTAAAGTGACTTCGAAAACCTTCACCATCTGACCTCGATGCTCCTTCCATCCTGAACTCTGTATTCATAGTTTCAGTTTGCTGCACTGCCTGGTCCTCTGCCCTCTTGGCGCACGCTTCTCCCTCAGACCAACACATTCGTCCCCACCTGCCCTTCCCTGGTGCCCCGGATCAGAATGGGCCCCCTCGCCACCCTGAGCTCGCACAGCCCAGGACTCGAGTTCATGGCACAATCACAGACGAAGAAACCAGTGAGCCAGTCAAACTTTCAAGATTGTCTCTCAGGAAACCCGTCCAGACTCTCAGATAAAACTCAAATCTGTGTCAGGGCTGCTCATGTCCCTTTTGTATACATCCATGTCACACACACACACCAGGGATGAATCCCTGGACGGCAGGGACACTGCGCTTCCATCACCTCTGTATCTCCTCACACCTGGCATGAACTCTGACTTGTGACGGGTGCTCAGTGTGGTATGTTTGGGTCTAAACATTATCCACAAAGAAATGCCTGAGTTCACGTGGGAATCCTTGGTCCTGAGCTTGGAGGAAAGATGAGCTTGGGATGCACAGAGAGGAGAGAAGGGACAAGTTACCCTCGCTGAGAAAACCCAGGCAATGATGCCGGCGCAACCGGAGTGTTGGGAGCAGCTGGGCCAGCCGGTGGGAGGGTGTGCAGTGCTGGGAGTAGAAAAAGAGGGGGTGCTACACGGCGGGAAGTTTGGGTTTTTCCCCATTAGGCTGGTAATGTAACAAGCAAATGCTTCTTTTCACCATTGGTCCAAATGAGGTAAGAGCTTCCAGTTATCCTAACAATGCTTTTCTACTTTCTAATTGCTTTGTCATTGTAAGAATCGGGCTCTGAAACCCTTTTTTGGCCAGTTGGGCTTATCCTAAGGTCAAGAGTCTGGAGGCGTCCTGGTCTGGGCCCGCCCCCGTGCTAACATAATGTGCTCCATAGAGTTGTGTGTCCTGAGCTGCGTGGAGGTGTGTACTGTGTGTACAGCTGGGAAGCAACCTCTGCCAGGGGGAAACAGCAGCATTGGAAGCCACAGCGCAGGCACGTTTGCTCCGGGCACTGGCGCCACATCCCTTGCCTTGGTGGCCGTTGCCAGAGTCTTGGTTGTGACCAGTCTTCCTTTGGACTGTCTTTTGTTGTCGCTTCTCTCTGCTGCTAACCTTGCTAGAGGAAACCTTATCAACAGTAAATAAACAGCACAGCCTTAAGCTTGATCTTCACTCCTTAAACTACAAGGTTTTTTGTTGTTTTTGTTTTTAGTCCCTATACCTTCTAGGTGTTTCCAGAGCACTCAGTGGTCAGAAAACTGCTCTTTAAATATTTATGCAGTAAATTAAAAACTGAAAACAGAAACAAGCTTAGTGACTTACTCTTGGGATGTGCATGCTTTTCCAAAATGGACTAGCCTGGGACTAAGGTCCGGCCTCTGGCCGGTGCTCAGCTGTCTGAGCCAGGATGGCTGCCGGGAGGTGGGGCCGCCCTGTCTCCAGGCTCTGCGAAGACAGGTCAAACTACAGCAGTTCTACTCTAGTCGGTCATATCTAGCCTGAGATTTCCCCTCATGCTTTCTGTCATGTTTGAGATCTTCCACACCTTTTTAAAAAATTACTCTTGGTGCCAAAATATATATCCTAATGAATTCTGCCTTTCAAAATAAAACTGGAAAACAAAACACTCGTTCCAACTTTGCTGGCACTATTCCAAACATCTTATGAGTTCCTCATTTGCCAATGCCAAAGTCATCTTAAAGTCACAGAACAAAGTCACTGATTTTCTTTTTACCAAAACTTTATTATTTACTAGGCTTGGATCTGAATTTTTTGGCAATTAAAAAAAAAAGCCAAAATTGTTACCATCATTGAAGACTTTTTTTTTAATGTTCCACATTTGAGAAATTGCCATCACTTTCAGCAAGGGCAATAACATTACAAATACATGACTCTGAGGGAGACAACCTTGCTTGAACATAGGTAAGAAGATCCCAGTTAAACCCCCCTGTTGTGTTATTTAAGTCACAGTCATATATACTACAAAAGTTGTATTTTATTTATGTAACTTCTTATTAAGTAGATTTTATACACACGGTTGGCCGAAAATCAAAACTACTTTTCCACAAAACAAATGATAAATTACCAGATTCTTGGTTCTTTCATGGTCTCCTGACACTAAACCATTAAAAATATTAAAAGGCAATTTAATGTAAATTACTAGCATTTACAAAAGAATAAAATTATGAAAAATTGTTATTACGACCAAATGCACCAAATACCAGCGAGCACAAAACTGAAATGACGCTTGCTGGAAAATATTAAAGATGCTTTTTAGTAAGTTCGCTTCATATTCACGCTACACTTGGCCCAACGTGTTGAGCACCGTAGGATAGATACTTCAGCGACTCATAATGTTATTTGATTGACTTTTCTCCCCCAAATGAAAAAGCAGTCTGTGAAACATGAAATAAGAATCATCTAGAAGTCTTGCAGGGGTCCAGTTTCAGGATAGTTGACTCAGTTGCTCTCATTCCTCTTGTTACCTGATAAAGTACTTCACTTAACCACTCTGGAAGAATTTATTTTCTTGATATCAACTGAGCTCAGAATCAATGTCCCATTTTTGAATTTTCCAACCTGTCCGACCCGTCTACTTGACAAAATACTGGGAGCTGACTTCTTCTTTTTGGATTTCCTAGAGGTACAGTCAGAGAAAGGTGCCATGAATAGTTAGGCTTACAAATACGCATGACAGCAGCACCACCAGCCAGGCCGATGCGGCCTGGCCTGCATACTCCAGCTCCCAACCCACGCAAAGCCCTGACCCCACCACAGTGCTCCGGGCCTCCTGCAGTCCCTCCAACGTGCCAACTGCCCTCTGGCCTCAGGACCTCTGCACTGGTGCCCTCTGTGTGGAGTGCTGTGCTGCCAGGTCTTTGAAGGCTGTCCTCTCCTCCTTTCTCAGTTCTCAACTCAGATGTCACCTCTGTAGAGTGACTTCCCAGCTTGCCCCTCAGGACTTTTTTTCACAACACTCTATTTCAACCTTGTCACAGTCCTTGACAAACCCGACATCACCTTACTTCTTTGTATGTTTGGGGTGCTTCCCCACTACTCTCTCTGGGCAGAGACATCTTCCGTGTGACCATGGCTGTATGCTGACAGCTAGGGTACCTGCATGCCTGGGGCCCTCAACAGATAGCATCTGATTGCTTCATGGCATGCGTAAGCACACTAGGAGTCCAAGAACAAAGGTCACGATAGTCAATTTTGAAACAGTAATTCGAAGAGAGAGAAAGGCACTTGAATGAAAGCTAAGAAAACAAGCATAAAGCAACAAAATCAATGTTCCATTATTCAAAATTATGGTACTCTACATTATGTGGTATGTCAAAGAACAGGCAGCGTTGACCCAGACTATGCTATCGTGTCAGCAAACACTCTTAGGAGGGAACAGAAGTCTTCTGTTGGAAATGTCAATTGCAACTTTTCCAGTAGTCACAAGAGTTGTCTGTCTTTGAAAATGGGAGATTGGAGAAGGTTCCTAATTCAGTTCTGAGGCAATTATTCGATCTCGGGCAATTCACTAAATCCTATCTTCCCCTACAGGGTCTCATTAGGGTCAATGACAGGCAGTGAAGCAGTCTAACAGGCTAGGAACAGCACATGTATTCAAGGTGCCATTTTCAGAACCAAGCAATAGACTTATCCAGACCATGCAACCCTCGTGCCTGATGTATCACTCACCTCTCTTCCTGCCCTTTCCTCTTCTTTTTCTTGAAAATATCTGTTTCCTGGGCCTGATTTCAGAATTTAAGATAATACACGTATCAGTAATGGACAATGAAGATTCAAAGAAAGGCAGGAGGTTTGTGACCAAAAGCCACTGAGATACCATTGATTTTTAGTATTTTTTCAAGTGGGCATATTAAATATCACAGTCTCAAAGTTGCACCCTAAAACCCTTTCAAGAATGTAAAAGGCTATTTTCTTTTGGGTGAAAGGTAGGAAGCGTAACACCTATTACCCTGTGGTTCTTCATAGGCCCTTATGTTTCTATACAATGTAAAATGAAAAAAATTAAGTATAGGAAAAAGGTCAAGGGAGCCTACATTATCAGTACAAGGGTGCTGTGGTTTGGACATCTGACCCTCCAAACCTTATGTTGAAATGGGACCCGAGTGTTGGAGTGGGGCCTGGTGGGAGGTGTCTGGGTCATGGGGGCAGATCGCTCAGGAAGGTCCTGGTGCCTCCTCACTGTAATGACTGAGTTCCCACTCTGTTAGATCCCTGGAAGTTCCCTCGAGAGTCAGGAACTAAAAAACAGCCTGGTGCCCTCCCCTAGTCCCTCGCTCCTGCTTCCTCCTCTCACCATGTGACCTCTACACACACGGGCTTCCCTCCACCTTCTGCCATGAGTGGAAGCAGCTTGAGGCTTTCACCAGAAGCCGAGCAGATGCTGCTGCCATGCTTCTTGTGCTGCAGCCTGCAGAGCTGTGAGCCAAATAAGCCTCTTTTCCTTATAAATTACCCAGCCTCAGCTATTCCTTTACAGCGACACAAAAGGACTGAGACAAGGAATTTGCTAGTTCAAAGCAAACCTTGCATGTAAATATGCCAGATTACTTGACTGGTATTATGAAATGTGGACAACTCAAAGAAGTGGAGACTACGTGATTCTTCAACTCTGGCGTCTTGACTGCTTTCCAAGCAGTGGCCTCCTGCATTCCCCTGGCAAACTGCACTCATCTTTCCGTTCTAGTTAAATAAAGAACAGATGGTTACACCCACCATTCTCTTTTCTTCTTCCTTTGCTGCCTTTTTTTCTTTGATTTGCTCCTGTAAAACCTTGTAATTCACATAACTGTTTTTGGGAGGCTGAAATGAAAGAAACATGCACCACCAATTTTTATTCTACAAAAATGTCTCAGTGCCCCTTGCCCTGACTTGCCCTTGGCTCTCCCCTTTTCCGCAACCTGTCTGGGGATAGAAGGCAGCAGCCCCTCACCTTAGCTCCCAGCATAATGGCGCGTTCCTGTTCCAGGACTCTTTCCTTTCCTTTTCCGTAACCCGTGATCCCAAACCGGTGTACTTCCAGGCGAGCCTGTGGACACAAAACAGAATCAGACCCAAGGGCATTCCAACAATGCCACAGAAAAAAACGTCACCCCAGGAATAATGCATCATGACAGTTCTGCTACAGTGTGGATGAAGGAGCTCTGTGGAGGCTCTCCTACCTACCGTGATGTTACCATATCTCACCACATTCTTCTCCCACATTTAAGTTGGACAGCTGGAACAAAAAATTACCTCCACGCAAATGAGTAACAGAGCTAGGACCGATGCAGAGTTCTGCAGTACTTTAGGATGCTCTCTAAAACAAGCCATTACCCACAAAGGCAATCATTTCAACTGAAAACTACCTCTCCAAACACACCTACTCACACTTAGAAGCCATTTATCATAGCAGCTTCAAACACAGGTCTATGTTTTTAGAAGGAAGAGAAAAGTCCCTGAGACCCAATTTCAGCTGTTGAATTACGCCCTCCTGGCTTTTTTCTTATGCATTTTTAAAACCTTATTACAGACACAGAATATACATACCCTCCCTTTTCTTACATACCAATCACCGGTATTGTAGTCATGAAATCATCATGTATTAAATGAGTATGTAATATTCAATCAGGAGAATGTAGTGTGATTTGTTTAAGCATTTCTCCACCAATTAAATATGTAAAATATTCATTTTTTGTTATTATAAACAAAGCTGTTAATTTAGGATAAATTTAATAAATTTATGATAAATTCAATAAGTATATAAATAAAGTTAATTTAAATAATCTAACAATCTCAAAGTACATACCTTTTCTAGGTTAAATTCTTGTATATCCACATCTTTCTTAAAAACACTAGTTTCAGTCTGCAGAGAAAAAAATTCTTATTAAGATCATCTGTTATGATAACATTATGATATCTATTACCAACAGAGTAGATAGGTTTTAAGAAGCCTTCCAATTGACTATCTCACGCCCATTAGATTGACTACTACCAAAAAAACAGAAAATAGCAAGTGTTCACAAGAATATGGAGAAATTGGGACCCTTGTGCTCTACTGGTGGGAATGTAAAATGGTATAGTCAAGGTGGAAAACAATACAACAGCTCTTTAGAAAATTGAAAATAGATTTATCATACAATCCAACAATTCCTCTTCTGAGTATATATCCAAAGGAACTGAAGGTAGGGTCTTAAAAAGATAGTTGTACACCTATGTTCAGAGCAGCACTGCTCACAATAGCTACAACATGGAAGCAACCAGATGTCTGTCGACAGCTGAATGGAGTAAATAAAATGTGGTGTGTACGCACGATGGAGCATCGGCCTTAGCAGGAAGGAGATCCTGACACCTGCTGCAACACAGATGAACCCTGAGGACATGATGCCAAGTGAAATAAGCCAGTCCTGAAAGGGCAAATGCTGTATGATTCCACCTACATGAGGTATCTAGAATAGGCAAAATCATACAGAAAAAGGTAGAATGGTGGTTGCCAGGGGCTGGGGGAGGAGAGAATGGGGAGGCAGTGTTCCATGGGTTCAGAGTTTCAGTTGAGGAAGATGAAAAAGTTCTGGAGACGGATAGCGGTGACGGTTGCACAACACTAGTACTGTATTCAATACCACTGCATAGTACACTTAAAAATGGAAAGATGGCAAATGTTGTTATGTTTCTTTTACCACAGCAAAAAAAAAAAAAATTGGGAAAAAGTGCCTTGAAACTGGCCCAGATAGCTAAATAGTATTTAACTGCATTGAACCTAGAGAAGGTTCTCAAAATTTGGCACAAAAGGAAGTATCTGCCAGTGTGTATTAGGTGTTTTTGGTGTATGTACCATAACGAGGTATAAAAATGGACTTAACATGAAAGTGTTAGAGGTGATAGGGAAAATTGTCATATGGGATAAAAACATAACAGTCTAGCAAAATGCGTGGAGCCCACACATGCTAGAACAAGTTCATTTCTATTAACCAATCTGCATGTCTAGCAACTGAAATCTTCAGATTAGCCTATATGTCAGTTAAAAATAACTCATTTTCCGGAACCTTTAAATAAAGGTATTTAATATTCAATTAAAAAAAAAAAGAACCCCGTCTCCACTAAAAAAATAGAAAGAAGTTAGCTGGACAACTAAAAATATATAGAAAAAATTAGCTGGGCATGGTGGCGCATGCCTGTAGTCCCAGCTACTCGGGAGGCTGAGGCAGGAGGATCGCTTGAGCCCAGGAGTTTGAGGTTGCTGTGAGCTAGCCCAGCACTCTAGCCCAGGCAACAGAGTGAGATTCTGTCTCCAGAAAAAAAAAAGAAAAAGAAAAGAAAGTCATGTTAAGAGAGAGGCAGAGATTATAATTACACAGCCACAATCACAAGCCAAGGAATGCCTAGAGCCAACTCTGGGCAGAGACAAGGAAGGATTCTCCCCTAAAGCCCTCAGAGGGAGCACGGCCCTCTCAACACCTTGATTTTGGACTTTGGGCCTCCAGAACTGTAAGAGAATAAATTTCTGTAATTTTACGTGGCCAAGTTTGTGCTAATATGTTATAGCAGTCTCAGAAACTAATTCATATAATCCTCATTTCCTTTTCTGATATACAAAGGTTTATGGAACATGGGGGATGCTACAGAAATGGGATATCCGGATTTTAGCAATGAATTTGACAAAGCCTTTAAGACATCCTTGTGGGGAGGGGAACCCAATTCAAAGGAGCAACCACACCTCCCTTGTGGACTGAATTTTGGGTCGAATTTATAAGTTCAGTCTGAAAGAGACTGCTACTCAATAAAATCAAATTGCTTTTCCACCAGCACGTAAGTTCCTTGAGAGCAAGAATTTCTGTACATTTTATTCACTGCTATATCCCAGTGCCTAGAACAGTGGCTGGCACATAGCAGGAATGCCAGAAATAGTTGTTGAAAGGGTTAACTCAGCAGACCTGGGTTTATTAAACCCTGCCCATTCCCAAGAAAGTCCTAGTTTCATGACTGGGCCGATGGATGGCTCCTGAGAACTGAGCATTCAGAATACTCTGTGTTTTTGCATACCTGAGACCTTGAGCCACTGCTGTATCAAGTTTGCCCAGACAGTTCATACTAACAACGTGACTGATGGTAAACACCGCTTTTCTCTGGAGGCCTAGAGCTTGAATAACTAAGGTCAGTCTGTATGCCTACATGACTGAGTCCTGTTAGTCCTTTTAGCAAATCCTGAGGCCTAAGGGTGCTTTTGGGCCCTCCTGACACAGTATATAAAGATACTCACCTAACACTGCAACACCAGGGGTTCCATCATATATGAATAAGCTAATCAACTAATTACCTTCATGCTCTCTTCTTGATCTGGCTTCAGTTTTCTTTTTTTATTGCTGCTGTGAAATTCTACCACTTCTATTCGTTCCCTGTTGTTCTTTAGGGAAGAGGCAGGTACTGCAGCAGCAGGGACTTCTGGTCCTGAAGGGGGATCTATGGGGGTGCCAGCAGGAGCACAGTGCAGCTCTTCTCTGAGTTCCTTGAAGAAGCTGGAGGCACTCTTCCTCTGGCCTGTTGTGAGAGAACCAGGTAAGGGAGCTGGCTCTGCTGCCAAGGCCACTGATGCCCCCACATCTGTCTTCTTGTTTTCCCTTTTCTTTCTGATTCTCTTCTGTTCTGTTTCATCTGCTGTCTCTCCTATTTGTTCAAACACAAAAAGGAAAATAAATATTTTTGGCTTTAGCTATCACCAATATCACATCATATGAATGTACTTGTGCATATCCCACAGATATAAGCACCCAGAACACACACAAGGAAATAAACTATTTGTTTTTCTTTAAATAGGGTGTATTTGCATAATTTATATAATCCAAAATGCAGTCATCTTTTGCTAGGTACCTATGTCTTTGACACTTATGAGCACAATTACTTTAGTCCTCGCCTTGGTCCCTACTCAAAGTATCATCCCAGCAATAGTCCTCAGGACTGGTAATCACAACTGGTTCATGCAGTATACTAAAAATGTCAGTCGCTGAAGCCAGTGTTTCTTTTTAACACTTTCTACGGCTACAGAAATATGTAATAGTCTTCCTATTTCTTTCACAGTCAGCAGTTAAGATGAACCTAGGACAATTAGCTCAATTCGAATGCCTTTATTTTCTACTAAATCCCCTTATCTACTCTTTGTTTTACCTGTTCAAACTCACCAGTCACCTGAAAGTTCCAACCAGATTCCTAGGCCCCATTATTCACCTGCAGTACAAATACCACAGAGTTCTCTAAATATCAGCTGACAATTTGTGCTTGCTTTTATTTGATTAATCTTTCACTCTATAAAAATGAGTAGGCGCATTCCATGCCTTCAGAGCTCCTATGATAGAATGATTTCCAGCTTGTGTTGACATAAACTATATTTAGGATTTTGCACAATAGTTTTTTCCTCTAGATTTTAAACTTCTCAAGGTCAGAGTCTGAGTCTTCTCTGTCCTCCAATATTTCCAAGGGTGCAGAGAAGCTCTGTCCAAGTATATGTTAATGTAAGTGTAGGGCTGGGGCTTGACCATCTGGGAATTGGAACCCAGGCTTGGTAAATTACCAGCTAGGTAAACTTCAGCAAGTTCCTTTAACTTCTAGTGCTTGTTTCTACATTTGCAATCATGCGGTTGATGACAGAGTCTATTTCATATGGTTGTGCAAAATAAATGAGTAAATACATGAAAGTAATGTAGTAATGATAAGCTCTCAATACTCTAGTGATTGGCAATCTTTAACTATAAGCTCTCGTATTTTCCCTTTCCCCATCAAGATAAAAGAATGAGGGCAAAAGTTTGGCCCACTTGTGAAATAAAAGGTTGAGAAAAGCCTCACGTGAAAACACTCTCTTAGTCCTTGGAGAGGGACACATAAGGACGAGGCTGGTGAATTGTCCATGAGGTCCCAGGGCGACATGACACACACTAGGGGTAGGCAGGTCTGGGAATCACATGAGAGAAGGGTGCTTCCCAGAGGACAGGAAAACGTGAAGTGGGCTATTTCGAGTCCAGGGTCCAGTGTGCACCGCCCCAGTTAACTCTGAAAGCCTTGATGCTACAGACAAGCAACTAGGTTGGTCCTCACACTTGGGGACAAGTTGGAAGGTCTGATTCATGAATAACTCAACAGAGCCCCGACAAGGAAGGAGGTAAAGGTGATTTGCGATGGAGAAATGTGTTCTGGACAGACTATTGGAACCAGGTGGGACGAAGTGAGGGGTGTTTGACGTACAATACACTTTAGCCAGAAAGCACAGGCCGTCCCAGTTTGGGCCACACGGGAGACCCTCGCTCCCCAAGTCCGCTCTCCACGTGGGCTCCGGAGGCCCCGCACTCACCAAAGTCATAGAGGTTCTGGAGCAGAGCATCCAGAAGTGTCGGAGAACCGGGCGGCGTGACACGTCCCGGCCCCTTCTCCGTCGCCATCATGGGGTCTGCCACCCACCCACAATCCGAGCGAACCACCCGGTTTCGGCCGCGCGGCAGCCCTGCTTCCGGGTTCCGGCGTCTGTGCGCGTGCGCGGCAGGGCCCCGCGCGGCTTCCGTCCTGGTTGAGATGGCGGCGCCCGGGGTCCTGTGGAGCGGCTGCACAGGGTGCCTCAGGCGAGGTCGGGCCTCCCTGCACGAAAGAACCGCCCCCACGAGCAGCAGCAGCAGCACTGCTTAGCAAAGAACTCCAGGCCCCACCCGAGAAGGCAGCCGCACCATGGATTCCTCCAATTCATCTAACTCTTATTTCTCCGTCGGCCCCACCAGCTCCAGCGGGGTCGCGCTGCTCTACTCGGTAAGCGCCCAGGGGACGAGGCCTGGGCGGGGCTGCGAGAGACGAACCCCTTCTCTCAGCCCCAGCTTCCTCCAGCCCAAGACCCCTACCCAAAGGAGTGAGTCCCGAGTCAGGGTCAGGTGGTTGGCTTCGTTTCCAAGGCAACGATGTATTGTGTGTCTGTGTGAATGTATGTTTGCTTTTAGAAGTTTCTACCGGTGGTGATGGGCCGTTTGGTTCCTTTCTGCTCGTTCCTTCTCTTTCCCACCCTCAGCCGATGGGCTTTCAGAAAGCCCCTGGACACAGGCATGAGGGATGAGAATTGGAGTCTTCCGATCTCTAGCAAGGGCGTGTCGCCCTTCACATTAGCGTGGGCAAACTTGAGAAACCTGCGGGTCTGACCCAGCTTAAGGTAGCCCGTGTGGCTCAACACCCAGCCTTCTCGCTGATGTTATGTTCTTGGCAGAAAAGTATTTGGCTTCTATGTGAAAATAGTGTTTTTAAAAAGACTCTAATATGGGAAAATTCAGAACTTCTGGAAATTTCTATTGCCTGTTTTTGTCTGCCATTCATTGTACTTTTTCCATAAATCATTTTGGAGGACAACCAATGCCACCCAGCCTCTCTCCAACTTGCCTTTTCACCCCCAACCCCCTCTTTCTCTCCTGGTTTTAACGGGTCTTTTTTGCCAGCAGGATGTTGGTTGCTCACAATTTTCATGAAGAAATTATGAGGTGGAAGCTTTGCAGCCCTCAGGGTTGCTCAATCCCGGAGCAGCTGCTCTGGTTTTTGTTTGTTGTTGTTTTTAACCACCAAATTACTTTTTGACTGCTTTAGAAGGAAATAAAAGAATGCATTTTAAAAGTATATTACCATGTCCTGGTGGTTAGTGTCAGTTTCTGACTTAAGTACGGTGTTTGTTTGTGCAGGAAGGTCAAACAGGAAAACACAAAACAGCATGATAAACAGAAGCCCCAATTTCAAAAGAAAATACGTCTACCTTCAAATTGGGACACCAATATTCTTTGGAACATGGGGAAACTTCTGTTGCCTCCCTCTCTGTCAAGAACTTAGGGTTTATGATTGCTGTTAACTGCCTACTTCTTTAAAGCTTATCACTTTAACCCTTCTCATCATTGACCTTCTCAACCCACACTGCTGTAGAGTAGCGGTCCCCAATATTTTTGGCACCAGGGGCCATTTTCATGGAAGACAATTTTTCCATGGGGGGGCAGGGATGGTTTTTGGGGTATTCAAGCGCATTACATTTATTTTGCACTTTTATTTCTATTATTATCACATTGTAATATATAACGAAATAATTATACAACTCACCATAGGTTGGGGACCCTGGCTGTAGAGGCATCCCCCATGCTTCGACTTTGTTTTCTTACTCTGCTATTCCAGAGCAGGTGTATAGGAAAGAGGAGCTGTGTGTTGCAGATCCAGCTTGTAGTGTGTAGCTTTTTGGACCCCAAATTGGTTTGTGAATTGACTGGAATTTTTCTTTTGTTATTAAAGGAAGGAGTTGGTTTTTTTTACTTTCCCTTTCACCAGTGATTCTTTAGTGATAAGACTTTTGTCAACTTTTTCATGTGAAAGACTAAGACAATTGTATGTAAGCATACCCTACTTCTAATGCTGGACAGCAATCATCTCTTTACCAGTGGTTCCTGATACTGTTTGTGACTCCATAGCCTTTGCTTCTATAATAACCTGGACTTTTTCTTACTGCTTCAGGCTGTCTTTATTTCCTCAGCCGTGCTGTTACTGTGTAATAGTCTCTGTCTAATCTGAAAGTAGCACTTAGAAATGTTTAAGATACTGCTGATTACAGCAAACATTAGGAGTACGTACAGTATCCTAGTCATTATTCCCAGCAGATCCGACCCTTGCCTTTGAGGGCACAGGAAGTCCTAAAAGTAAACAGATAATTACAATTAAGTGGGATAAAGGCAATGATTGAAGTATGTACAGCGTATTGTGGGAGTAAGGAGAAGGCGCACTTAACCTGTTTGGGGACTTGGAGAAGGCTTCTAAAAGAAGGTGACACTTGAGCTGAGTTTTTGAGGTCTAAATGGGAGATGAGGGAGGGAAGACTGTCATAGGCATCAGTGTAAGAAAACCACTTCCTTGCATATTTGGGGTTATAAATAGTTAGATTTGGGTAGACAGAATAAAGGAGACCATGAGAAACAAAACTAAGGAAGTAGACAGAGGGTACTTCCTAAAGGAATTTTATGTATCATGTTTACATACCCTCAAATATAAAATCTTAACTTTATGGGAGATCTTAATGTTAACATTTATATTTTGAAAGTCTAAGAATGCTAGGTTTCTGGTGTGATTGTGTGGGTAACCTCTTTTGCTTAAGTAGAGACTGTGGGAAGAGAATGAGATTGGGGAAGGAATCTGATGCATAATAAGCGTGGAGATCGATTAGGATGCCATTTCAATAACCCAGAGAAGTGATGAAGCCTGAAGTGAGACAGTGACAGTGGGCCTGGGAAGAAGGGAGATGGAAGAATTGGTGTGACATTTAGGACAATAAATCATCAGCCCTTAGAACAAGAAGAATGTGGTGGCAAAGGAAAAGGAGGCAGTCTGAAGTTGATGCTTGGGTGTCTTACCTGGCAACTGGGCAGATGATGATGCCTTTCACTGATAGGAAAGGAGCAGAGCAGGTTTAGTCAGGGCGATGTAGTAATTGCAGTTTAGGGTGTGTTCAGTTTGAGATGTAAGAGGCAAAAGCAATGATTTTTTTTTTTTTTTTTTTTTTTGAGACAGAGTCTCGCTTTGTTGCCCAGAATAGAGTGAGTGCTGTGGCGTCAGCCTAGCTCACAGCAACCTCAGACTCCTGGGCTCAGGCAATCCTTCTGCCTCAGCCTCCCAAGTAGCTGGGACTACAGGCATGTGCCACCATGCCCGGCTAATTTTTTTTTTCTATATATTTTTAGCTGTCCAATTAATTTCTTTCTATTTTTGGTAGAGACGGGGTCTCGCTCTTGCTCAGGCTGGTCTCGAACTCCTGAGCTCAAACAATCCGCCTGCCTCGGCCTCCCAGAGTGCTAGGATTACAGGCGTGAGCCACCACGCCCGGCCAAAAGCAATGATTTTTAACTTGGGGAACATCATGTCATGGACCAGATGCATCACAAGGTGTTGGGGAGACATCCAGGTACAGGTAGAAATATGGTGCTCGAGCAAGAGAGGAAGGTGTGGCTTAGATATATAGATTTGGCACTCATCAAGTAGGTTGTATCTGAAGTCATAGATGAGCCAGCAATCCTTCAGCGAGACCACAGGATGAAAAGAAGACTGGGCATGGGTAACCACTGGTGTGCCATAATCCAAATCAGGACTTCCTGTTAGAGTCTGAATGAAAGACCTGAACGCCTCACAGTGTCTCACAGGACTTTAGATTATCTGGTAACTGATGCTGCTCTGACTTTACTAATCTTGTTCACTGGTCTTCAGCCACTCTGGCCTTCTGCTTCTCAGACAGCAAGCATGCTCTCTCCACAAAATGCTCATAGTCCCCTCTATGTGGCGTGCTATGTTTTCTCAGAAGTTTTTGTTTCTGGCTCTTTTCTTTATTGAGGTCCCAACTCAAATATCACCTCCTCAGAGAGGCCTTCCGCAACGATTCCATCTAAAGTAGCTCTCCAATCATTTGTCCTCATTAGTCACCCCATTTTATTCTTTGTATTCTTTTTCCAGTGGTGCACTACAGTCTTGTACTGTATTGCAAGAGCTGATTGTTAAATTTTCATGATTTGCGAGGCCATTGTTAAAATACAGCCATTATTAAAAATTAAAAATTAAACATTATTTAAATTTATAATTAAATTCTGTTAAAAACAAAGGTAATGTTAATAAATACTAAAAACTTAGCATTTCTTAATTATTTTACTGATTTTTACCATTACCTATGCTCTTCAGGTTATTTATGTCCATCATACTGGAAGGTAGAGATCCACTATAACCAAATGCTACTGGGTGTCTCTCGCCAAGTCTGTGTTCAGTGGGGTCATATTGGTGGCTTGAAATCTGCCATAGGGGGAGTATATATTCTATAGAAATTGGCAAACGCTGTAACTCAGGGCTCTCCCATATCAGTTGTTAAATGGTTAAACATCGACCAGCACGCTACTGGTGGTATTATTAAGTGAACTTACTTTGTTTATTTGTCTGTCTTTCCTTGAGGGCATGTAAGCTGTCTCAGTGCAGTCCCTTGCCTGCCCTGTTCATGCTATATCCTCAGCCTATAAAACGTTGCCTGGTACATTGTGGGCTTTCAGTGACTACCTTGGGATGGATCCTCCAGAGCAGTAGAAAGGAAGGTACAAGGAAGGCCTCTTTAGCAATTGATAGGGAAAGGCCTGCTCTGATAATTAAGATGGGAGAGAAATACTTCACCTTAATGTTCTTGCTTGGGTTCTTATTTGTATTGTGTTCCTGGGTGAGTAGCCATGTAAATATCTTTATTTAATGATAGCAAATATTTCCCCAGCGTGGATACCGAAGGCCAGTTAACAAGCAGTAGTGCTCAACCCTAACTGCACACAGGAATCACTTCCAGTACTTTTAAAAAGAATTCTGATGCGGATCTTAGCACTCTGGGAGGTCAAGGCAGGAGGATTGCTCGGGCTCAGGAGTTCTAGACCAGCCTGAGCAAGAGTGAGACCCTGTCACTACGAAAAATA